TTTAATGCTATATTTTAAAAAATATATATAAAAAATAAATGCTGTATTAAAATATATTCATTTGATATTGCTTATATGCAACATGTTCATATATGAGGAACATAAATGAGGCACAGAAGTTTTTTTCTTTATTTCATTAGATTTTTTTTTTTTTACTGTTTGCACACAAAATACGACATAAATGCTTGTCCATTTCTGGACCATCTGGCAGTGTTTTTTTTTGTCCAAACATGATCCAACATTATGCTGCGTTCAGGACAGGCCCGACGTCTCTCCTATAGCGTAGACCCGACGTCACTGAGCTCCTGGTTGGGGGAACTTGGGGTCTCAACCTCACCACAGACCATCCTGACATCCCCTCATAGCTGCCATCCTCCCAGAATGCCACCTCCTCTGCTGCCAGTACTCTCTGCCTTCCTCCATCAGCTGTTAATACAGAACAGACAATCATTATGAGATACAAGCATCTTTTAGTCATTATGAAACTACAGTGAAATTGTTTGGCAACTTCCAGCTTAGTATGCACACATAAGACATTAAAACAAACAAACAGACAAACAAACAAAAAAAACACATTAATACATTCTTACAAAAAATAAAAACTTTAATGAAAAACAAGGAAACAATTGGAAGAAAAAAAGAATTTTAAGTAGTTGGTAATAAATAGTAAAACATAATTCAACAAACTCTGAGGAAGATAATTTGCTTTGATGGATTTTAATAAATCACAGTACTTTAATCATTCAAGGAGTTGTGACATCTCTAGATCTTACCTGCTTCTTTCTTGGCCAACATCTGGATGACTGGCAGTAGGTCCTTGATACAGCTGGAAAACATTTTTGTGCATTGTCAATACATAGCATAATTACATTATGTACATAAACAATATTGAAGCATAAAATATAATCAACATTCTAAAATAGTAGATACTCACACACAGTTGCATCTCTGTCCTCATCACGGACATCAGGACGTTCCTGAAGATTCTGATTGACACAAATGTGACTCCCATTCTGTGGAGTGTAAAAGTAAAAAAAAATATTGTAGCAAATATATCGCTTTGTCAAAAATACATAAGTAAATAAGTTAAAGTTATTCTCAACCAGCCATTGTACAATCGGGAATCAACGCAGTTGTTACGACCACTTATAGTGCAATAAGAACAACCAGTATAAAAGGGACAATATTTACTATTACAAAATAAGAGGATGTGTATTTGCAAAAAACAATAGGTAAACAAAAATAAATGAAAAACAATGGAAAAGGAAAATCAAACTAAAAGAACAGCAGGGTGCAGCGACAACTGCAAAAAACAAAAAACACAAATTACCAAACGCCTATTAAATCTTTGCAATAAAACCATTCAATTCAATCCAGTTAAAAAAATATACAAAGCCTACCTGCAGCGTCGACCAACCACACGCCCAGGTAGGAATCGTCAGCTCAAAACATGAAGTGTGGCCCTATATAAAAACATCACACAAACACTGACTAAATATAATCAGATTAAGAGTTTTTCTTTACAACAAAAAAAACTGACACAAACCTGATCGCAAACAGTGGGACGTGTGGGCCAACACACCTGATCGAACACAGAGGAGATTGACAATTGCCCACCAGCCTGACAGCTTCCCTTTTATGGGAGCTCAAAATGTGGAGGAAGCGACCCCTGGTGGTTCCACCCGTTACACAGTGACTGTACATAATACCGGCTTCATGGCTCCGTCCTGATATCCGTCCTCCGTCCGCCATGTTGTCGATCTCTACTGCTTACTATACTCCGTTATATCAAAAATAAATAAAATAACCGGATGTTCAATTTTCTTTACAAATATGCGAGTGTTCATTATTCACTAAATGTGCAATCATAACTTACTGAATTTCTCTTCGTGGACTCCGTAAAAGCGCCTCGGCACCGTGGTCCGAGGCCTGGCTGTTGAGGCTCGGCCATTTTTCAGGTCTGAAAAAAATAAAAGAAGATGCGAGTATTTTTAAGAGTTCAGAACATCACATGTAATAAAAAAATTGCAGTACGAAATCTCTCCCTACACTTGTTTTGACATTATAAAAACGACAGACCGCTTTCTGTAAGAAACAAACAAAGCAACTCGCCTCGCCGCACGTGCTCGCTATTCATAAAAGCTTTCTTACCTGAGTTCGGCCTGTTGGAGCGCCACGGTGTCATCTGTTGTTTTCCGCCGTATCGTAAACGATACTGAAAAGGTAAGGTGCAAATCTTCCTCTGGAGTTTAATGGCGGCTGCCTGACCGACTATGAAATCGCATTACTGCCACCAACTGGACTGGAGTGTTAAATGAAAGTTGACAGAAAAAAAAACATTCTAAAAAGTTATTTTTTCAAAAGTTACGTGATAGTATATTTTATTTTTATCATAATTAATTGCTAAAATGTTTTTAAATGTGTAGATGTTTATTTACTCAATTCTACTTTGAGCTGTCTCCTTTTTAGTTTATACAGAATATAATGATTCATTATCCATGAGTTATATT